TTTGTGTTTTGATGATCAGCAGAAAGAGTGTTTTTTTTAATGCCTTTATAATGGTTCTTAGGTATTAAAATAATAAATACATAAAATTTTATAAATTTGTATGCTTTATAATCATTGATTATATCATTCTATTGATACCTTCTAAGCTTACAATTTAATAATTAAAATATAAAGCAATTATAGAGTTTACTAATTTTCTCTGCTCTAGATGAGTCTTTGACCACTCTAGTAGGTTTAGATTACAGATAAATAAGTCTGAGCTTTTATTCTTACATGTAATTTTTATTTTTATTTGTACTTATACAAGTAGTAGTATTTCTATATAACTTTTATATAGTTACTATTCTCAAAATTACTAATAATGATATGTGCAAAGCCTCATCTCAATACTTAAAAAAAATAATAATTTCCTTCACTATTTCTAATTGGCTATACTAATTATTCAGTATTTATATTAGTAATCAAAAAACTTTTTCAAGTAAAAATTTGTGTTGTTAGACTAGAATTAATATTTTGGCATTATATTATAATTATAAGATATTTCTTATACCAAAATTTTTCAAGAAAAATTTTTTATTAGTGCATAGAAGACAGTTTCATATATTGAATTTAGAGTTATGGGTGATTTTTAATTTTTTTATTCTTTTACATTACACCTGATCATGAAATTAGATTGGCTCTGATAAATGAATAATTAGTATAGCCAATCAGAAATGGCAGAGGAAATTAGGACACTCGCAATTATAGAAGATATCAATAAAATGATATAATCAATAATCAATTATAATGAACACAGACTAATAAAAATTTTATGTATTCATGAAAATAAATAATGCCTTTTATAATGGTTCTTAGATATTAAAATAATAAATGTATAAAATTTTTATTAACTGTGTGTTTATGATTGATTGCTGATTATATTATTCTATTAATACCTTCTATACTTATAATTTAATAATTAAAATATAAAGCAATTATAGAAGGTATTGATAGAATGATATAATCAATGATCAATCATAAAGCATACAGACTAATAAAAATTTTATGTATTTATAAAAATAAAGAATGGCTTTTATAATATTTCTTAGATATTAAAATAATAAATGCATAAAATTTTTATTAACTGTGTGTTTATGATTAATTGCTGATTATATTATTCTATCGATACCTTCTATGCTTATGATTTAATAATTAAAATATAAAGCAATTATAGAAGATATTAATAGAATAATATAATCAATGATTAATCATAAAGCATACAGATTTTATGCATTCATGAAAATAAATAATGCCTTTTATAATAGTTCTTAGATATTAAAATAAACATAAAATTTTTATTAATCTGTGTGTTTATAATTGATTGCTGATTATATTATTCTATCAATACCTTCTATGCTTATGATTTAATAATTAAAATATAAAGCAAGTATAGAAGGTATTAATAGAATGATATAATCAATGATCAATCATAACACACACAGACTAATAAAAATTTTATGCATTTATAAAAATAAATAATGCTTTTTATAATGATTCTTGAGTATTAAAATAATAAATATATAAAATTTTTATTAATCTGCATGTTTATAATTGATCACTATCATTCTATCAATACCTTCTATGCTTTCAATATATTTTAATTATTAGGGAGCTAAAACTTATTGCATAAATATAACCCTCTATTTATTATAGCATACTTAAAATAATTATATTGTTTTTATATCCTTTATTTTGTATCTTGTATAAATTGATACTTTAAATTTCATTAATTATAAAGGTATAGTATAAATATATTGTGTCTGTTGTTTGGTTTCCTGCTTTTTTTTGGCAAAATAGAATTATTGTTTTGTTTTTTTTAATGTTAAGGTTACCACTTTGGGATCTGGCATGTTTTATTGAACTTTGGATTAAATGTTAGGGTAACCACATATGCTACCACTGACTTTGTTACATTAATAAGAATATATTCTAGCCATATCTGTGCCTTTTGAGCATCTAATTAAGTAGTTTCCTATTACTAAGTACTATATTAGATGCTGTACTTATAACCTATTATTACTTGAGTTATCTAATTAAACCATCTGATCAACTTAGCGCCGTTGGATATTCTTCTCAAAGAAAAACTGCCGCTAAGCTGCTTAGAACTACTTTATCCTTGTATAAACCTACTAGAGCAGTCCATGTTTTATACATATATCATCTAGATTATTAGTAACTTATGTCTAGACCACAGCCAAGTACTTGCAGCTTTTTATCTTCATTACCGTTACCTACTCTGTGCCTTTGCAAAGTTTACTCAAACCCCAGTACTCATTTTACAAACTATTAACAGTACTTTGATGCTAACTAATGGTGCTCCAAACTTCTATTTCAGATAGCCTGGGAGGAACCAGTGGGTGTCTCTTGATATTCTAAGTAAATCCTTTTTCCTCCAGCTAGTCTAGCAGCCTGGTAGGTATAGTGCTTGCCAAACACTAAGTTCTCATTCAGTTTACTGCTAATGTCTGGTTTACAGATAATAATTCTTTATGTAGTACTGTCAAAGATTTGTGCTACCTTTCTACTTGGGACTTCCTAAGCAGGCTTCTGTATCCCTAATCCCTTAGATTTATTTGGCTGCTTCACTCAAGTTTCATGTAACTTATGCATCACACTATGTTCCACAACCTCCCAATATGAGTTGGTAAGACCAAAGTCACAGGTGCTTACCCGATCAATATGTCATACAGTTTTACTATAATGCATTTCTGCAAATTTAAATTTCGTCACCAGTAGGATTTGAACTCTTGTCCTGCTGCTTGAGGGTGCGACAACTTACCAACTACACTAAGTTACCACATCCTAATAGAATCATTGTTTATATTTTTATCTATAATAACTTCTTATGAAACTCTGAAAAATAATTCTATAAATATAAATTTGCAACATTTGTATATAATTTGTCAAAAAGTAATTTGTCTAAGCCTTAGAGAATTAGTAACAATATTATCTTGAAACATTTTTATCACCAAGATTATATTAATAATATTAATAATTGTCCACTTTGCTGAGCAGAAAATGATAAAAGTTTGCAAGATTTGTTTAGTTATCAATAAATTATGTAATTTCAAATCTATTTAATATAGTCATTTGTTAATATATATGCCTCCTATATAAGATTCTGGGTTGACTTTCCAAAGTCTATTTTTCAGAAATATTATTTTACTGAAGTCATAATGCTAATAATCTATTTTACTAGCAGAATAAAATTGTCAATTTATCAAAAAGTTTATTTCACTAATAGCTTATTTTATTAAAAAGTTTTTAAAAATTGCATTAGCCTTAACTCTAATTATAAATTGATTCTAATAACAATGATTGAAATTACTTTTTAATAAAATATCTGTTAGTAAAATAAAAAACTTCAGAAAAGTGAGCAAAATATCTAAGCTATTTTCTACATAAGTGTACTTTTATAGTTTGATGATTAGGAGTGATTGTAGAAAATAGCCTATTGTTAACAGAATTTAATGTTTTATTTATAAAAACATTCTATATTCTATAAAAAAACTAATATATTTACTAACCTAATTATAGTAATCTTTACTGCATCTATTATCACCAATTCACCAACCACTACTAAAGCAATGACAACTACAGCAGCTACTACTGTTACAGCTACCATGTCTACAGTATTATCACTACTGCAACTACTATGTCTATTATTTCTAATACAACTTCTATGCCTATTAACACCACAGCAGCTACCATATCTATTATTACTACAGCAACCACCATTGCTACCACTATAGCAATCACTACACCTGATATTACTACTTCAACTACTATGCCTGCTGCTGCTGGAATAACTACACAAAAAAATTAAAAAAAGTAATAGAAATTATAAAGGAGCTTAGAAATGAGAGTGATATAGAATGATATAATAGTAAAGATGAGGAATTAGATCACAGATACAATTATATTACAGAAATACAACATATTATTTTAAAATTTCAGCAAATTAAATTTTCTGTAATTTTGATTATATTTTTTATTGCTGTTTGCAATTTTGTAAATTTTGCAGATCAAAAAAAAGCAATTATGATTAATAATTAGTGATTTCTGATTTATAATCTTTTTTATATATTTTTTAAACTTTAGATTAAACTTTAATATTATAAAAGATATAATAAACTTATTATTATATTAGTA